ACATATTGTTCCATTCACTTAAAGAAAATAGAAAAAAACTTTAAAATGACTTTCTTCTTATAAGTGTAAAAGCAAAATCAAAGATAAAAAATAGAAATGTTTATTTCACCAGGGTTACCCCTACACTCTTCTCCTTGCAGAGCTTCTAACAATTTAATGGATTCCACTAAATCCTGAATTCGATTATTTTCAGATTTCTTCTTATTTGTTGAGAATGATATTATTTTGCCTCTCACAACTGTTTTTCCTGCCTTTCTCCTCCCGGAGGAGAAAAAAGGCAGACAGTGCAGACAGCGCAGCGGGGCAGTCTAGGTCGGACAGAGCTCAGCCGAGGCTGTGGTAAAGAGCTTCGTGATCCAGGGAGACAGCACAAGACAGTCCCAGACTGACCTGACTTGATCATTTTAAATGAAATATGTCATGAATCATTGTGTATGTCATGAAATTTTACTTTTTACAAAACAATTTCTTTAGAGCGATCAGAAATGTTAGCTTGTCACGTTCTCTGTCCTGACCACACCTCCTAGCTCCCTAACCCACCCTCCTGCACCAACCACTGTTTGCCTTGGGGCGGAGTTATCCTTTCACGGGGGGGTACGATGCACTTTAAATGCCCAAGTTTAAAAAGTCCAGATTAGGCCTACTCCTGTCTTAATCTAAGCCTCGTCTGTGAAACCGGCCCTATTTGTTTTATTATGTGTCATAACAACTGCAAATCTCACCTGCATGGTCATGTCAAAGTTTGAAGGTTGCCCATCTTCAKCTTTGATGAACATTTCCTTGGAGGCATCAACCAAGAACACCAAGCTGTCTCTTCCAGTAATCTTGTAATCTCCTGTCAGAAACAGAGACCCCTGGTTTATTTTGAAGTAACGTTAATAAATCAGCTTACAGGGATGTTAAAGACTGTGTGATCACACCACACCCAAAAACTATTTAAGGTACTGTGTGGAATCACAATGAGAATGACCAAAGAAAGCAGAAATATATAAATAAAATATAAATTATATTTTACAGTGGCCTTCTAGCGTGCCAATGCATTGTAGGAATGAGTTACTTATGCAAATAAGTTTCCCCCCCTACATCTTCTCACAACAAGGTTNTCCACAAACTGGTCCTGGATTAAGCTCCAAAGTTTTTATCAGTCAGATTCCACCGTGAAAAATGTCTGTTTTATCCCCTTTTATGAGTTTTTGGCCACTGACTATCTTTAAATCGCTGCTTCCTGCTACAACAGTCGGCTCTGGAGTCGATCGCTTTTTTTTTTTATTTTTTTATTTTTTTTGAAGCGAGTGGTTGAAGCAAATAGAGCATAAGAGCCCCCTGGTGGCTGAAGAAAAAAATCCACATATAAGCCGCACCGGACTATAAGCCGCATGGATCAAATTTCAGGAAAAAATGTCGCGGCTTATAGTCCGAAAAATACGGTATTTATTTTGAAACAGTCATTTTAAATGACTGAAGGAAAATATGAGCACCAAGCAACAACCCTAGGTTCTCCCCTGAGAACCAGACCAAATATTTTATGTGCACCCCTGTATATATAATTTTTTTAAAGTTCTTTTAGCTTCAGCCATTGTTTGGTGCCAAAGTTAATTCCAGAAATGATGTCCTCAATTCTATTCCAGGTTTTTATGAGTGTAGACCAACAGGCTGTGCTCCCACTTAGGCTAATGAGTTTTCATTAGGCTTACTCCAGGACTCCATAGTCTCAGACTAACTAAAACACAGTTAAGCCATGTTCATGCAAATTGATTAAATGCCCAAGTTTACCAAGTCCATATTAGGTCTACTCCTGTCTTAATCTAAGCCTTGTCTGTGAAACCGGCCCTATTTGTTTTATTATGTCATAACAACTGCAAATCTCACCTGCATGGTCATGTCAAAGTTTGAAGGTTGCCCATCTTCACCTTTGATGAACATTTCCTTGGAGGCATCAACCAAGAACACCAAGCTGTCTCTTCCAGTAATCTTGTAATTTCCTGTCAGAAACAGAGACCCCTGGTTTATTTTGAAGTAACGTTAATAAATCAGCTTACAGGGATGTTAAAAAGATTGAACTGTACACATCCAGGTGTGATCACACCACACCCAAAAACTATTTAAGGTAGTGTGTGGAATCACAATGAGAACTAGACTTGGGTTTTTACGATGTAAAAACAAGTGTGCATTTCCATGTAGCATGTCATTGCAGCATGGCTTTGCCTGCAGCATTGGACTTACAGAACGAAATGTGATCAAGTTCAAATGTGTTTTCTATACCAGCGTGTGCCTGTCAAGTCAGCCGGTGTTTGTAATGAGGATAATTGTGTGAAAATATGAAATTTGTAGAGATTTTCTGTTAAAGTTGCTGTTGTTGGGTTTCAAACCCTGATCTCCCACATGAATGCCCATGGAACTAACCATGAGACCATTGGAGCTGTGTTAGAGAACACTGTCAGGGGTTGGTTTGTATGTGTGCAGAAAAAGAGGCCACATTGCCAATGTAATGGTTGTCAATAATTTGAAATATATTACAACAATAAAGCAATATTAGGACAACATTATAGTAAAACATCAAAATACAATCACATTAGTATTGTAAACACTGAACTATTGAGATTAAATATTATTAAACTATGGTGCAGTACTAAGTAGATATAGCAGGGTCAGTATTGGACCAATACAAGGCTCCATTGACTCCCATTATATGATTTTAAACATTAATATTTCAAAAACTATAAGTTTTACAGGCACCGAAAGGCATAGCCATCATTTGGCACAGGAGCTTTACAAATATAAATTACAACGGCAGCTCTAGGACAAAGTATGCAGGAGGAGAAGTGTGCCAAAATGGAGATGACTTGGATGGGAAACGAATCACAATAGTGTGCATTGCACTGGCAATGCACACTGATGACTAGGGTTGCCACAAACGATTATTTTAATAATCGATTAATCACCGATTATTTATTCGATTAGTCGACTAATCGGATCATACGTTAATTGAATATAAAACATACAGCTTATCACGTCAGAATGCAGCTGCTATTATATAACCATCGTTAGATTTTTAGCTATATGCTAACTAAAAAT